TATACCGCCTTAGGTACTCCCGGCAGCACATGTGTAGTGTGCTACCAGGATAATCCGGCACTGCTTATTGGCCGTGGGCTGGAATGGAACTCGCGTGGCCATGCTTTGTAAGCGCACTGTGCTTATCCACTTGCACCGCCGCTCCCCATACACACAAAGACAAAGATCCCCCGTATAGCCTTCAACAGACTGTTGGGGCAAGCGCTGTTAGCGAGCACCTATGAAGGCCGGCACGGCGCACGAGGGGGTGGGCGGTCAGCACCACGTTCGCCCGTAAGCCTGGTACGCACACTCACAAAGACGAAGGTCCCCGTTATAGCCTGCATGGTACTCCCGGGGCAAGTGCTGCCGGGAGTACCTATGAATACCGATACAAACTTGGCCACGCCGATAGCCGCTGCACGATGTGTCGTGGTATCACGGCGCAGCGCGTCTCCAGCAGGAACGCTATTCGATATTTAGACCAGGTTATTATTATTATATACTTTGGGTTATTATATACTTTGGGTTATATTCGCACGCAAGCAATGGTCGTTGACCGACACACAGCCCTTTGTGAATGGATTGACAAAGTGCTGTAACATCTCATTATCATCATTGAACTGTATATTTAAAAACAAAAAGTTTTGCTGGCTGGCTGGCTTCCTGGCTGACGCACCAGTCCGCGCACATCTGTTGATGACGTCACCGCATCCAAAGCGTGGAGCCGGGTTCGTGCGTGCTGACGTCACCCCCACACCCCCCCCCCCCCCCCCACCTTTCAACCCGGCCAGTACACTGATATAAAACATTTATACATATAGGCAAATGCGACAATAAACTGCACGGAATTAATAAAAGAGAACTAAGAATATTTCATACTATATATTTTTTTAAGTTTTGCTGGCTGGCTGGACGTGACGGTCACGTCTAGAAGTACGTTGCGTGCTGCTAAGTCACTACAACAGTACAGGCTCTCTCCCGTTAATGACACCCCGCCCCCACCGCCCCCCCCCCCCCAATTTTCCTGGAAAGCTTTGCGTCGTAAAAAGCGGGGGACCGTCGGTGCAGTTCTTCTTCTTTCTTTTTAAATCCTTTATATTAAGTTCACTTGCTTGCGTGCTTGCTTGCGCGCTTACGACCGTGCAAATCTTTCGGTCGTTTTTTTAACCCACTTCCCGTGATCCAATCGAGCTGACATTTTGCACACAGACTCGTTGTGCGTGACAATTTCTTTTCGTGAAAATTTTTTTCCAAAATTTTCCACTTTTTAGGAAAAAAAAAATTTCATATTTAATTTCAAATACCAATGTGATAAAAATGAAACTCTTACTCAAGAAAAACAGAAATGAATAATAAAATAAAACCGATGCCACGCATATAAAGGGTTTATAGTGAAAAACTTTGTTTTTACGGGTTAATTTTTATTCCTACTGCTACCACCGCACGAAATGGACAACGGCTCAATCGGCGCAACGTCGATTGAGCCCCCACGCTGCCGCCACCTTGGGCCTCTCGTTAGTTTTCGCTTTGAGAATTTCTTCCCTGGGCTGCCTCGGTGGAGGTTTTTGTTTTTGCACGTGGTGGTGGTGGTGGTGGAGGGAGACGCGCCTCGGCTCCCGATCAAATGTTCGCACTGGGAGTGTCGGTGGCGAGGCGACCCGCTCGTTTATTCTGGAAACAAAATCGCTCTCGGGCCTTACAGCCGAGAGCATCCAGAAGGTTTTTTTTTTGTTAATGTTTAAAATCCCGCGGCGAATAGTCCTTGTGATGTTAATTGTTATTCTTTGGCTCTTTCGGTTAAGTCACGTCTAAAGATAAAATAATAAATTAAATAATAGCATATTACGACGTTTCGATTGCAACACAAGCAATCATCATTAGGCATAAAAGAATAGCAACAAAAATCTAACTAGAAAACTATAGACAGACATACAAGCAGACAGATGTCTTAACCGAAAGAACCAAAGAATAATTCCTGCAGTCACGAAAGCTCCAAAATTAAGATGTTAATTGTTACTTTGGTTTTCACCCAGAATGGGCGGATTTCGCCGAGATCTCGAGAAATCCGTTGTCCGGGAGCGTTATGCGAGAGCGTGCGTGCCAGATTTCCTGTTTAAAGAGTTATTCAGCAAACCTGTCAACCCCTTATCAGTGCCCTACCTTATTAAATACCAACTCAGACCTTATTGGTCACCCCGTGCCCCTTATAAATATCAACGTTAATCCTACAAAGTCCCATCACAAGGGAGAAACACAAACAAATAGGCATTTTTTTGCCCGTATGGAAACGGCTGTGCGCCATATGGACCTGAAAGCTTAATTTCCCTGCACAAAAATACGGGGTAAACCGTATGGGTTGACGCGGTATGCTACTATACATTATACACTACTATACACTAATATACACTACACTACTATACACTACTATACACACACTACTATACACTACTATACACACACTACTATACACTACTATACACTACACTACTATACACTACTATACATTACACTACTATACATTACACTACACTTTAAATGAGCTATATTGAAACGGCTGTGCGCCGTATGGACCTGAAAACTTAATTCCCCTGTACAAGAATACGGGGTTAAACGTTGTGGGTTGACGGGTATGCTATTATACATTATTCCAAACTATACACTACTAGACACTACAACTACTTTGCACTACACTATACACTACTATACACAAACTACTATACACTACACTACTACACACTACTACACACACTACAATACACACTACACCACTATACACTACTATACACACTACTATAAACTATACTACTACTGTATACACTACCCTATACACTCCACTATACATTACACAGCACTATAAAATGAGCCCTATTGGAACGGCTGTGGACCTGAAAACTAAATTTCCCTGTACAAGAATACGGGTTAAACCACGTGGGTTGACACGGTGTGATTCCGTGTTTTCTTACTCTCACTGACGAGCGATCATCGTCGTCGTGATAACGACGGTGATGTCGTTCATTTACCCCTGCAGGAAATAGAGCCTCACCGAGTCTCAAAATTCGTTGCCACGAGGTTTCTGCCACATTGGGATGCTTGGCCATGAATCCCACAAACGAGAGTCAGTCTCTGTGTGGGATGAGGAAAAAGATGCTGGAAGGTGATACTGACGGCTGCTCTGTGCTTCCAGTGTTCAGATGCCTGCTTAAGGCGCGGCTCTGGCTGGAGCACGCCATGTACCACACACATGTCAGTGATGTGCACGTCTTCCTCGGACAAGCCCCTCTCTGTACCAGCGTGGACGGCACCCTCGTGTTCACCTTCTGAAGCGCTCGCTCGTCACCGTGACGTGCGCGATGACCACCACCACCACGTGACTTTTCTTTCGTGTTGTGCGCGGTGCATTTAGCACCACAGCGCGTGGATTTGTAGCGTTTATTTGTTTGTTTGCTGGTGACTTTGTGTGTTTCATATCGGAATTGCCTCCAGCGCTGTTGCTGCTGGCGGCAATAAAAGTTGTTTAAAAATCAAAAGTCTATGTGGGATGGCCATGGAGATCCTGGAGGAAATCCACCTCTCACCCTCGCACCTACAACCCCTTGCTACAAACTAAACTCTCACTATTTTATTTTACCAGGTAAGGCCCACTGAACTGCGTAGCTCTTTTTCAGAAACGACCTGGCCACAAATGATAGCTCAAAGAAGTGGCTTATCACGTGCAAATATATAGCAGCCAAACAATATAAACGCGTGACGTTGATTCTAAATGCGGAGGGGAAAAAACCCGGACAAAAATCCACGCGACCACGGGGAGAGAGACACACAAACTACAAATACACAGCAGCAGGCGTCAGGCTCTGGATCGAACCCACGACCTCCTGCACACCAGGCGATTTAGTTAACATCTCGCCACCGTAGCATAGATGTTAACTTATAAGTGGTGGTCGCCCGCCCATCTCTAAGCACTATCCAGGCTCAACGCCTGCTTAGCTTCTGAGATCCTGACTCTATTCCCGGTGACATTGGCCATACCTATCACACACACGCCGTACATGGTAGTTCACGAGAACAAAACACCCTGCGGTACATCTAGAGGAGTTAGCATCTCGCCACCGCGGTGCCTCTGCATCAACACACAAAGACAAAGATCCCCCGTACAGCCTTAATAGACTGTAGGGGCAAGTGCTGTTAGCGAGCACCTATGAAGGCCGGAACGGTACACGAACGAGGGGGTGGGTGGCCAGCACCACGCCCGACCGCCTTTGTCTCCCCAGTGGCGATGTTTACACACCGCACCAGGTACTCATTTAAGGCTGAGTCGACCTAGGGGAGGCCCAGGACCGGTTCAGATAATCGTCACTGGTGTTAGCCGTGAGCGGGAATCGAACCCTGGTCGCCGGCTTCATAGCGCAGCGTGCTAACCGCTACACTACCGCCTCTGCATCAACAACAACAACAACAACCGTCATTCGCCACTAAGTGGCGGTGACGTCACCACGACGCTTGTGCCAGGCCAAGTGCACCTTGAGGCCACGTGAAGTGTCGAACGCCCGCTGGCAGGAGGTCACGGGGCAGACCCAGCAGGTGCCACGGGTCGACTGACCGAGATGACCGAGATGAGTGGCTGATGCACCACCTGTGCCCCCTACTGTACCAACTTGCTGTGCTTTAGCCACCCGGCGCTCCGCTCGTTGTTGTGAGCGTCGCTCCTCCGCTCTCCGTTGTTGTTGGAGGGCGACTGCCTCCAACTGCCCAGTAGCGTCCTTCACGAGCCTCCTCCACTGAGGCCGATCTTGACACCGCTGGTACCAGTCATCGGCAAGTCCACTCAGCTCCACGTCCTCCTGTACCACATCACTCCATCTCTTCTCTAGCCCGTGCCGCGCCCGTTTAGCCCCCTCGATCCGGCCGAACAAAAGCTGTTTAGGCACGCGGTAGCTGGGCATGCGGGCTACATGACCCAGCATCAACACACGTACACACATGCACACACATACGTATAAAGCGTGTGACGCGTGCGCTACCAGCTGTCTCCGCCTTCGCTCGTCCCTGCCGTCCGCTCGCCGCAGCTCGGCACGGAACGCCGGCGCGTCTGCCGCGTTCTCGCCGGCCGAGGAGGGCCCCCTGGCCAACACCTCCATGAGGTAGGCGATGTAGCTGGTGGCCAGACGCAGGGTCTTGATCTTGGACAGCTTCGTGTCGGCCGGCACGTTGGGAATGCAGTCCCTGACAGGCAGAGGCACAGGAAGAAAGGATCGATGGTAAACGGCGAGTACTTTAACTGTAATGAAGGTTGTTGTTGTTGTTGTTGTTTTTTTTCTGTTGGGTTTGATCGCGTAAGTGTTAATGTGTCTTTCGATTTAAAGCTTTCGTGACTGCAGGGATTCATCTTCTTGGTTCTTTCATTAAAGTCACGTAGAATGGAAATAATAAAATAATAAAAATTTAACATAATACAATACAATTCTCACGACGTTTCGGCCACAACGCAAGCAGCCGTCCTCAGGTGAAGAACAGGTCTGTCGAGAAGACAGAGTCTGAATGAAACAACCCCAGGCTTGGAGCGTTGACGTCCCACCTGATGACGGAGACTTGTGTTGGCTCCGAAACGTCGTGATTTATAATTTTATTGCTATTATGATTTCTATTATATTTATTATTTACTTATTTTTACCTACGTGACTTTACCGAAAAAACCTAAGAGTATACACGCGTAGTATACCATCCTTAGTAGGCAAAGCTACGAGTTGTCCCCCCCCTCCAGCCCCCCCCCCCCCTTGCCAACCACCATGAGATCGACGTTCCACGACACGAGGTGTAGGCAAGCACAGCGACGCTTCTGTAACGATGCGAGTGGGGCGAGAGGAGCCGCGATATCTTCATCTTCTCAATATATATCTCAATATATATAAAAGTTGTGATATTGTGTGTGTTTGTTCAAAATGTTTAGCGTACTTCCCGACATGCAACAAACTTGAAATTTTCCATGTGGGTACTTTCCAGACTGTACACCATGCAAAAATTATAAAAATACACTTTTGTATTTTTTTTGGGGGGGGGGGAGCTCAATAATGCAGAGATTTTTTTGCACGGCAAGATGAGCTGTGACGTCACATCTGTCACGTGACCCGCGCACGTGGAAGCGTAACGCATTGTAGTGTAGTGGGTAGCGCGACGCTGCGTTACGAACCCGGGGGACCCGAGTTCGATTCCCGCTCACGGCCACCACCGGTGACGATTATTTTAACCGGTCCTGGGCCTCCCCTAGGTCGACTCAGCCTCAAACGAGTAACTGATGTGGTGTGTGAACATCGCCACTGGGGAGACAAAGGCGGCCGGGCGTGGTGGATCCGGGTAGTACAGCTCGTATACAATAAGCCGCGGTGCGATCGTGCGAGGCTGATTGCAAATGTTGGGGACCCCACGTGACCGATTGCCCCACCCACAGAGGTGATCACGTGGCGACTACGCCAATGGCCATACAACAAACTACATACATACTACAAACATACTACATACTACAAACATACTACATACTACAAACATACTACAAACCCTGCGCGCACACACAGTCTACGACTACTGTATATATGTATAGCGTAAATGTAACACGTACATTTAACATGGGAATTTCGATTTAAAGCTTTCGTGACTGCAGGGATTCATCGTCTTGGTTCTTTCGGTAAAGTCACGTAGAAGGAAAATAATAAAATAATAAAAATAAAACATACTAAAATAATAATGGCCGAAACGTCGTGAGAATTATTTTATAATGTTTTATTTTTATTATTTTATTATTTTCCTTCCACGTGACTTTACCGAAAGAACCAAGACGATTAACATGGGAAATTGAACACGGTCAATGTAACACAGTAGTAACACGTACATTCAAAACGGTAAATTTAACACGGTAACACGGAAATTCAACACGTTAAATTCAACACGGTAAATTCAACACGGTAAATTCAACACGGTAAATTCAACACGGTAAATTTAACACGGTAAATTCAACACGGTAAATTCAACACGGCAAATTCAACACGGTAAATTCAACACGGTAAATTCAACACGGTAAATTCAACACGGTAAATTCAACACGGTCATACGTTTCTGGGAAAACACGACGTCTTTTCCACATTATCCTGCATGCTAGAAGATGTTCTTGCGCGTTTCGTTTCACATTTTATATCACACGCGCAGCGCATTCCAAAGCATTGCATATATCATGTCATTTATTGTAATATTTTTGTTACGTAATATGTTTGCATTTTATATATATACGTGCATTTCAGATGGGTTGAAAATAAACATCCCACCTTTGGCCAAGTGCGAAATCCGGTTATAACTGGGGTGTCGGTGTAGCATACAATGTACACATACAATCTACACACACAATGTACACATACAATGTACACACACAATGTACACATACAATGTACACACACAATGTACACACACAATGTACACACACAATGTACACATACAATGTACACACACAATGTACACATACAATGTACACACACAATGTACACATACAATGTACACACACAATGTACACACACAATGTACACATACAATGTACACACACAATGTACACATACAATGTACACACACAATGTACACACACAATGTACACATACAATGTACACACAGAATGTACACATAAATTGGTATATGCATCGTAAATAATACAGAACGGCATAAAAAACGTTGGCTCTTCGCAGACCCTGTACACAGATGATGCATTCATAGTTGGTACACCACGCGTACACACTGTGCATTACGTAACGATGGCACCATTGCATGCATGCACACACACACCACGTACACGCACAGTAACCTCATCACCTCTCTGGCCTGCGTGCACGTGCGCTACGCAGAACAGGCATTGCCCGAAACGTCACCTATTACACCGCTTGCCATTGTGTTGATTAGCACGTTGGGTTTCGTGCAGTTGCGTAGTGCTCGCGCACCAAATGTATCGCTGCGATTTTACGCAACAGGGGGGTGGTGGTGGGGGGGTGACTTCAATACTGCACGCACACGCACGTACGTAGGGCACTTCGCAAGCCAACATTATCCCCCATGATTTGAAGCTTTCGTGACTGCATGAATCCATACTCCTTGGTTCTTCCGGTAAAGTCACGGGGAGTAAAGATTCCCCATTCTCACGGCGCCCTCTGCGCAGAGGTCGCAATCGGGTACCCGATACCCGTACCCTACCCGACCCTGGTGCGGCCGGGTACGAGTACGGGTAAGGAATCAAAACCCGTTTGCGACCTCTGCCTCTGCGCCTCCCCTCCGCAATGGGTGTGGAGTATTCTGGGTAAAGGCTGCGAGACGTTTCGAAAATGAAACGAAGTCGCGATCGGTTTTCGCGCGTTATAGGGGCAACGGAACCCCACTTTGGCTGACTATGCAGGATGGCAGAAATAATGAAAATTGACGAAGTAGAATCGTTTAATATTTAACGTAAAAAAAAATCTGCAATAGAGGTTTTTTTGGGGGGTTTAGATGGCGTTAATATAAATGTGTCGTTAAACCCGCCACCACCCGGCACTACCAATTAGTAAAGTTTGTCACATAAACAGAACGTGCTAATTCGTTACTGGTACAGCAACACCGCTGTGTTGGAGAGTAAACCCACAACATTTACCACTATAACCCCACAACAATTGTAAACCACCACATCGGTGTTGCTGTACTAGTAACGAATTGTCATGTTCTGTTTACGTGACAAACCTTACTAGTTGTAAATGTTGTGAATTGTAAATGTTGTCTATTACGGATACCATTGGTCGCGAAAGCCTACGTGTTTAACTTAATATTTTTAAAATCTAGTATCATTACTGATGTCTATGTTTCTTCTCTTTCCCGTGGGGGAGTCACCTCAAATGCGTCGTTTACGAAACTCGACCAATTGACTTCTGGATTAATTGAGTCAACAAAACAATCATTGACGAATGTTGAGAGGCGATACGCCTGTAATCTTAAACAACAACAACAAACATACTAAATTAAACATAAAAAAATGCGTTAGTGGTAAATTAAGTAAGTTGGAGCAATTGTTCAAATAATTGAAATCACCCATGATGTTTTGTTAAGATAAATGTAATAACCTTTAGGCCACGCTGTGTACAGACAGATCATCGTTTTTGTGATTCTCATTTCCGTTGTAGTTCTTAATCCAGTGGATAAATATAAAGACAGTCTGCCCGAGCCGACTTACCCCAAGGCGAATTCATCATTTACAACCATCGCCTTGCTACGTTCCTGCAATATTTTCAATTGCTCACGTGACACGGTTGTTATTGTATTTAAGATATTGTCTCTTGGAATTGTGCCTCACTTGATACAGTAAATCTAGCTGTGACGGTCCAACCTGATTACGGAGACTTGTGTTGCCTCCGAAACGTCGTGATTTATTATTTTATTTCTATTATTTCTATTATTTATTTTTTACCTACGTGACTTTACCGAAAAAACCTAAGAGTATGAATCCTTGGCAGTCACGAAAGCTTCAAATCTAGAACAGTTGTTATTTTCCCACCAGCTATTTGCTTCGCTGCTGTACTTTGTACTTTTAATCCATTCGGGTTTTTTTTCTCTCTTTTACTTTTAACAAATGTTTGTGCTCGCCCAAGTCACTCTCGCCAAAAATTGGAGACTCTCATCGCCATCTCTAGAGTCTTCTTGGTTCTTTCGGTAAAGTCACGTAGAAGGGAAATAATAAAATAATAAAAATGTAACATAATAAAATAATTCTTACGACGTTTCGCTGTCCCCCCGACAGACCTGTTCTTCACCTGAGGACGGCTGCTTGCGTTGTGGCCGAAACGTCGTGAGAATTATTTTATTATGTTTTATTTATATTATTTTATTATTTCCCTTCTACGTGACTTTACCGAAAGAACCAAGAAGATGAATCCCTGCAGTCATGAAAGCTAATAAAAATAATAAAATAAAATAAAGATTAATTTTGATGTTTTACCTACGTGACTTTACCGAAAACACCTAAGAATATGATTCCTTGCAGTCACGAAAGCTTCAAGTCTAGAGTCACGAAAGCTTTACATCGAAATCTCTACGGTCGTCCCGCCACCCGGCTGGCGAAATAAAAATCTCACTCGCGACTCGTCACTCCACGGTCGCGTAACCCTCGTCATGGGCTCCCTCTCGTTTGTTCCACGCAACGCCGCAGGACCCTCTTCCGCGTGCTCAAAGAT